TTACAAATACGATAGAAACAGTGTTAGGACATCGGAAATGTATTTAAACTTGTATCCTAAAAGACGACAACCACAGTTGAATGGGAAAGTAAAGAAAATTTTATAAATGAAGTATGTATGATATAAGTTAGACATTGTGTCCTTTTCAATAAAAATTAATAATTTGAAGATAAACATCAACCCGAAATGAATATTCGTCATACAAGTGCTCAAAAATATACAATACAATACACAATCTCAAAAATTGCAACCAGGTGATCCCTAAAGTCACTTAGAATTTTGTAATCGGCTAATAAGAAGAGCTGATTTTCCCGTTTTCCTGGAAAATTTAATTTGGACAGATGAAAGCACTTTTACGAATTGTGGGATATTCAACCGAAATAACGAACACATTTGGAACATAAACAACCCCAGGCAGTTCCGATAATTTCGACCTCAAGTGCGACTTTCGACCTCAAGTGCGACTTTCGACCTCAAGTGCGACTTTCGACCTCAAGTGCGACCTCAGTATTAAAGTGTGAGCAGATACAACTTTGGGCCCTCATTTATTTGACGGTATTCTGAATGGAGAAACATATCACCAGTTTTTAATGTCGATTTTCGAAGACTATTTGGATGATCTACCTTTGGCTAACAATAACAACATCTGGTTTCAACATAATGGTGTTCCATCGTTCACTACCAAACGAGTATCTAATTACCTGACGAAGGTTTGGTGATCAATAGATAGTTAATAATGAGCTGGTGAGGTGGCCAGCAAGATCTCCAGACTTGAGTGTTATGGATACATTCTTATGGGATACACTGAAAAATGAAGTTTATGGTCAGCACACATTCAACATAGCATTGTTAGAGAGATCGGAAGATTGAGGAGGAGGAAAATTAATAATGCAGTGAAAAATATTCGAAGAAGGGCGAAGAAGGGGAAAGGTATTTTTTCATTGGCTTTTCAAACGAACCAAACTTGGTGAGATTTTGATCCAATAACTTGAACATAGTTCGATGGGGTTGTCGTCTTTCGGGATACAATTTTAAATACATTTCCGATGTCCTAACACTTTTTCTATCATATTTGTAATAAATTTGTATCATATCTCTTTTTTCTTCATTCGTGAAAGCCATTTTTCTCCAAAAATTCAATGACTTGTACAATAACAAAATGTCAAATTGAAAGTCAAATTTAGAAACATCAAAGTCATAGCCTGTAATGATAAGAATTAATTTTTTTTAATATCTCCAATTTTTCGAAAAAGAATGATAAGTTTTGATACATCATTGAAAAGGTAAAATCTGATTCTATTCAAAATAGAAAGAATTCAATGTAGCGCCCATAAGTAAAAATAAAGTTGATGATGGTGGCCGGAAGACGAAACGTCAGATAGCATATCTGAAAACATCATTATGTAGCAGGGAAGAAGTGGCAATGTGAAAGCGCAATTTATTTTCGAATCCTTCGAAAAATAAAGCCAGAAAAAAATTAAAACCATTTTACGAAATTCCTGTTTTTTTCGGATATCTCCGGACATACTCGGAATTTCAGAACTTTCTTTTGTTTGGCTTTCTTTCATATTGTTAGTCAGGTAAATGCGCAACTTTGGCCCAATTTACCCATCTCCGTATCTCTCTCATAGTTTCCGAGATCCCAATGGTGAGAATCGAATTTGAAACACCCTGTATTGTCTCGCCTGCTTGCTAGCCTCTACTGCGCCTCAGACTTCTCAGCTTTTCGTCCTTGGCTCACAAAAAAATATATGTTCCTTGAAGTTTTCCATTTTATAGCTCATAATTTAGGAACAGTTACTCAAATATGATGTTTTGGCAACAAAGCTGGTTAGGGACGTGTTTTGTAAAGATACTTACGTTTTTCAAGTTTGTTAAATAGTCTAGTGATCCAAATGACAAGAACAGTATGTTGGGTCAAATTATCTCAAAGGATCAAATTATCTCAAAAAAAATGTATTTTTTGCCAACGTTTCGAATTTAATAAAATCATTTTTTAGTAATCGAAAAAGAGTGTTTCCATGTCAAAGCTATGACTATATTTAAAAATCATCAGATGTGTTAGGGATGCACCCAAAAATAAGCGTTGACAAAGTAGGGCATGATTTACTACAAAGCTAACTTTTTGTTCAATAAATTGATAGTATTTTGAGTTGTCCACAAAATCAAATTCTTTAAAACGAGAAAACGTTTCTATTCTGAATAGGAAAGGGCGATATGCTTGAAAATATAGAAGTACTGTTCAAAATGTGAAAGTTATAAAAATAAAGTTGATATATCCAAACGGGTTGAATGACAAAAATAATTTAGACAGAAATATAAGTAGTTTTGAATTTGATAGAACTAACGAGAAGTATCTATTCTAACTTATCATGCAAACAAAAAACTGCAAAGAAACCATTCAGGTACCTATCTATGCGTTATAATTGAAGGCGTTCAATACTCACAAATGTAACCCTTAAACTATTTTTATATACAGTGTCGTCCCCAAAGTATGCACCATATGGGAAACTCCTTTATAAAGGGTTTTTTGACAAAAAGTAATTCCTGATAAAAGTTTGTGCATCCCCTAAAACTAAATATGCACTAACAAAATACAGTAAAACACACGTAATATACGAGAGCCTTCAAATATTTGATTTTGAGACATGAGTGAAGTATTTTTATTTTGAAAAATCTCGAAAAATGTTATTTGGAAAAGTTGAGTGAAATTTTATTTTTTACCCATTTTTTTAAATGGAGACTACGAAAAAAAATTTNCGAACGATTTCCAAGCAAGTCAAGTAAAAATAACTATTATAGAAAAACATTTTCATTGTATGTATTTTTGTCAAATATATCTAAAAATATTATACTAGAATGTTTATGCAAATCGTAGTATTTCTAGGTGAATCGAGATTTACACCTCAGGAAATAATTATTTCAAAAGTGTTCATGTTTCTTCAACTATTTTCACCTTCAGTCGAGTTTCACCTCATACATTTCAAATATCAGTAGGTTTTTAAATGTACCAATTAGAAAATAAATGGATGACAAAACCAGTTCAAATTAAGCGCTATTTGCACTCCAATTACCTCACAACCCCTGATATACACCTTTCTATAACCCCTTCGCCTTCGCCATTGGTTTGGCAATTTTTTAGCCGAACCACAGGGAATGTGCCTGTCCTCTAGTCAATTAGACATGAATTTACGCGTTCTTTGGTGGCATATGGCAAAAGCTCCGCCATCTACCAACGGCGGCGTCAACTACTACTAATTTCGTTAGTGTTCATGAAAGATTTCTGCAAGACAAAAACAAGTGAATGGCTGCATTCACCAGCCTCGTTTGTAGCCTCAAGATGCGGACACTGCCTCTATCAATGATTGAAGGCAACCACGAACATTTTTGCCGCGAGAAGGCGCTGAGGGCTGAGGGGCGTGGGATCAGTTCTTGTGGTTCTTTCGTTATTTTCATATGGATAAAATGAGTTTATTTGGTTTATGCAACAAGAAGTTGAAAAATCTTTTGAAGAATGGATGCGGAAGATATTAAGCTGCAATCTGACTAGTACTGCAGCCTAGTCAGAGCTGATTTCTTATGTGGTTGTGAATATTATATGTGTTACCATTTTTTAAATCGATGAGAAATAAAAATTAAAATTGTGAACTAAAAATATGTTAACAATGAAAATTAAGATGAAATAATGAAGAAAGATGCAAAATAAGAATACATCTTACAAATCGAACTAGTTCACGATGTTTCAGTTGTCAATATCCATAATCGCCTTCGGCTGTCTAATTTTTCAAATACTANTGTGATGGCGTCATGGCAACAGAATTCAGAGTGGGGACGGAGTGAGAGAGTAATAGATAGAGAAAAAGTGAGAGCAATAGAAACTCGGAGAGGGAATTATTATAGGTATTACACAGCTGCACGCATTAAACTTTATTGACGAATTTGTGTTATTTCGGCTTGCAGAAATCGTCAGATTATATATTTTTCGTTATCCTTGAATCATTTCCTTCAAAATAAAAAAAATTAGCTACGCTCGAGAATGTCGAAATGACGTTATTTTTTTACAATTTTGCTACCCTCCCCTTTCTTTACGTCACTCTCAAATTGTCAGATTACTGGAATATACACTTTTTAGCAGGTAATTAACTCACCCTACCTTAATCTGACGCGCTCGAGAATTTCTGATGATCAATTTTTTTTACTAATCTGATCCTTTATCCCTCACAGGCGGCCTTATATATGGGGCTCATATTTGGTGGAGGTACTTAACCGGGTAGAACCTGTACATTAATCTGCCGCGCTTTAGTAAATCCCGAATTCCCCGCTTGGGCTCCCCTATTATAAGGAATGCCACATTTATATGTTATATTTTCTAAGAAATTATCGATTATTTTCATTTATATTTTCGTATATAGTTATAAGTGTATAAACATATATGAAGATGTTAGTTTAAAAATAGTAACGATTCTTCTTAATATCAAAAACGTACATAACACTGGGAGAAACCGTAATTCCAAAGAAACTGAAAAATTATGAAACGTAAATGATGACTATCTCTACCCTCACTAGTAACTTGGAAATATATTAAAATAATATTTTATCATGTAATGTTTCAAAGAATTGCAAATTTGCAGCAACCTCATCTTTCAATTCACAAAATATTTGAGAACCCATGTAAAATAGAACTCAAGTTCTTTCTCTATTTCGTCATTTTCTACTAAATTGAAAAGGATATATTTTCAGGAGAGATTATTTTTTGGGAAAGAAAAGTTTATGGCTTTTTACTTCTCCATCTTAATGCAAAAAATGTTATAAACTTCCGAAGGAGGGAAGGAAGGAAGGAAGGACAGACGGACGAATGGATGGAAGGAAGGAAGAGAGCAAGCAATTTAATTCAACATGAACTCATGCATAGAAGTTACTTTCAGATAAAAACTGGAAGAAAAAGCCCATCGGTAACATTTTTTGTAAAAGATGGAGAAGTAGAGAGCCAAAAACCTCTCTTTCCCATAATCTACTACTGATAACTAGTAATTCATATATATCATGAGTTTTCTATACTCAAAGTCTTAGTCGTTTGAATCAACAAGCATGACTCTCAAAAGAATCATACTTGACCAAATTTCATAATTTTTTGAGTTTTATTTTCATATGCCAGGGATGCTAAACTGCAACCTTTGAGTTTCTTCCAAATGTTTCAAAATATTTTTTCACAATGTAATTTTTGTCAAGTGAGATGGGATAACCTTCAAATAATGAAGCAATTTTTCTTCCCTTTGATTTTTGAGATATTGCTGAATTACTTACTTTATGCTGTTTCAGCTCTTCATTGATTCGTTTCAAGTTTTGTATCTGAAAAAAATTGTAAGCAAATTAAATTCACATAGATACAAAGTTCCAATATTGAAATGCAGTATTATTTACATTCTGTTGCACTGAAATGAACCATAAAAGTTGTGATGTTGATGGAGTTTCATTAAACTATTTTGTACTTAAATAAAAAATAATTGATTTCACAAATTGTCAACAAAAATTTCACTTCAATTTTACAGCTAATTCAATGCCACTGTGCTGACCTACAGAAATGAAAATATTAAATCATGAATGGATAATTCATTAACTAGTTCACAGTTACCTGTCCACAAGGAATGGAGTTATCAAGTCTTGAAAGTACTTACTTGTAACTCCTGCTCGGCACAGAGATGTTTTAATTTATCATAATCGTAATTATGTTCAGCAGTTCCTGTGGAAAAAAAGGGCAAAATGTCTTAAGCAGGTAATGAAAACACCCAGTAATTATAGCAAATAAGTATGTTGACTTTTCCAACAGGTAATAAATCATAATTTATACCTTCATTATCATCATCAGCCAAAACATTGCTGGCAAAATTTGTAAGTTGTCCTTTTAGACTATTGAAACCTTCGTTCAAATTTAGCCAAGACATAATAAGGTTTTTAATTGCAACAGGAACTGAAGAAAATAATTATGGAACATAAAACAGTTTCACCATTGTTTATTTACAAGTTCGAATCCAAATTTACTTGCCACTTGCCAACACACTGCTTGAAGTTTGACTCTTGACTTTCCAAAGTTTTTAATTTTGACGTATTCAGAAATATTTAGATTTGACATTTGAATTTAAAAAGTATTTTCGCTGTGTCTATTATTCCGGTATTAAACGAAGGTCTCGCGACAGTTAGGACTTGGCACCCGTAGTGTGCCTTACTTTCTTTTATGTAATTTAACTAGACAGAGAAATAACAGATTTACTGCCGCGGCTAGCGGTAAGGCAGTGAATCAATTTCACTAGTTCGGACTTTCATTGTCTACTATATAAAATGATTTAAAATCCCTAACAACTAAAAACGAAGAAATAAAAATGAATAGCAGAAAAATACAATTATATTAAGCAAAATAAACCTGAAATGAAATAATAGTGAAATAAAATACAAGTAAAATACAACAATTGAACAAAAATAAATAAAAATAAAGAAATGAAAAAAGAGAATAAAAAAAGTTAGATTCCATTTTTAATTTTATTTATTTTTGTTCAATTGTTCTATTTTACTTGTATTTTATTTCACTATTATTTAAATTCAGGTTTATTTTGCTTAATATAATTGTTATTTTTCAGCTATTAATTTTTATTTCTTATTTTTTAGTTGTCTCTGGGATTTCAAATCATTTTATATAGTAGACAATGGAAGTCCGAACTAGTGAAATTCATCATGAAACATTGTCTATCACCTTCAAACAAGCAGTGAATCAGTTTCTCTGCTGTGTGTCCGATTGTTTGTACAGTATATTTAAAAAATCTAAATGAAATAGAAATTGTTTCTATAACGGATATAACTCAACATTATATATTTATTTTATGTTTATGAATCACTGTGAATTCATTTTCATGAAAAATATAATTAAAGGCAGATATTTACAAAAAGGACAATTACCAGAATCTTTTATGTAGCTACGTTGGGAGAGATGAATGTTTCGGAATTTCATTTTAAGGTATTTATTCCTCCTCGATACAGCCTTGGTTTTCGCTTAGCGCATCTGTGAATGTAATTTCAAAGTACGTTGGAATAAAGAGTGACGTAGATCGAGTGTTTTCTTCAAAATATTTTATATAGGGAAGGGTCCAAGTGATAATACCCTAATTTTAGCTTTCTACTGTGCCCTGATATTTCTATGCATTTTGACTTTCACCAACAACCAGGTGATTTTAACGTGACTCAATGCGCAAGTCTAAGGAAACCAGCATTCAGCATGTCATTAGAATTAGAAGGCGTAGATTTTGTATAGGGTTCTTCGCATCGATGGTTTAAGGTTATGTCGATAGTACTTCGTCTATATACTAACCCTACTGCCTCCTGTTTATAAACTTTAATTACAAAATATCAGGAACAACTTACTAGAAGTCTTCTATCTTTTTCCAATAATGCTGTCTTCAATCTTCTCTTTCTAAAGGCCAATCCAATATTTGTTACCTCTATCTTTGTATATACTCTATATACAAAGCCTCTATGTCAAAAATCAGCTGTTTGTTTTTCTCGGCGGCCGGTTTTAAAGTTATTGCTTTTAAGTTATTGTAGTGTTGTAATAAAAAATATTTGGTGCTCATCTGTCTAATCTAAGACGATTTCGAAATGTCTGGTAATTTTTGGCAAAGTTCTCATCAGTAAGTTGCATATTTTTTTACTATACATTAATTTGTTACTGAAAATTAAATCGTTGTCTGTGTGACCTTATTCTAAAAGACATTTCCTTCATTCTAGTCAACAGTGGCTTTTAGATAAGCAAGACTTGATAAGAGAAAGGCAACACGATCTATCTATCCTACAAGAAGAAGAATATCAGAAAATTTTTATATTTTTTTCTAGTGGTGAGTGAAAACACTTTCTAGACTCATAATATTTAGCATTTATATCCTTCATTGCAATTATACTTCAATATTAGTTTTTTGAATTAGATGAAACATGTACTATTTCTGTTTTCTATTTCAGTAAACTATAAAAGGTATCTTCTTATTTTCATATTGCGTGATTCGACTAGTTGTAAGATCAGTTGGGAGTCGTGCGTTAGAGCAAATTCCAAAAGAACATTCTCTACATAACGAGTGTTTTGAACTTGAAACAAATTATGGAAGTCGCACATATTCGATAAGGCTGTTTGTAGGGTGATTTCCACTGCAGTCGCCGAAACTGAGGGAACAGATACAGAATCCAATTGATGTGATGACCAGTGAGCATTTGGAAGGTTGAAATCGCCAAATAAATGAATATGTGCATTGGGCTATCATTGATGATTCTGGAGATCTAGGAGGAAGGGAAACAACGAATAATGTTATGTGTGTTGTTTTCAATGGCAATGAACAGATCCTCTATGGTGTTATTTCACTGCAACTCTTGGCAGGGAATTGTTTTCTTTATCGATATGAGTACTCCACCTCCTCTATTGAATGGGCTTGTCTTGAAAGAGCGGTGTTGTAGTTAACAAGATTCAGTTTGGCATTTGTTATATCTTGAGTTAGCCATGTTTCTGTTAGGATCAAGACATTGAACAATGAAATGGCCTAATTATATTGGAGAGAGCAGAATTTAGAATGAAGGCCACTAATGTTTTGATAATACATGTTTGGAAGTTTGTGGGGAAGATGTTTCTTGTTTCATTTGATGATTCCGGAAATGCCGTTGATGTACTTCCATTTGGCATGGTTTTCACCATGCTCAATATAGTATTTCAGTTCAAGTTGTAGTGATCTGAACTGTGCCATTTGCATGGGTGTTAGATCGCTGTTAGGATGGATTTATGCAGCATCAACTTTCATTTCCACTTCACAGGTATTTTATTCAGCTCTTATTGTTTCCTGCACTACGCATGCATTCATCAAAGTTCATATCATAAAATCTCAAACAACAAAGTCAACTTAGTGATACCCAATTCCTCTAACACAGGTTGAATTTTGTCAACACCTTGTACAATACAATTTCTTCAAATCATAAACAATACATATAATTTTTTAAATTGTGATAGAATTAAAAGCAGGTGCAAAAGTGATTTACACTTTCACTAACTTGACTTTCCAGAATGAAAATCAAAGTATTTCTTATAGAACAACTACATCTTTCCTAGAGAGTTGAAATAAAAATGAAGTTTATATTGCATAAATCCCTCTTTATATTCTAGAGTACAAACAAATACTCCAAATTATAGAATGGCCTCACTAAATTTATATTATGTATATTGATATATTGTGTTTATAATTTCCAGTAATACAAACATTGGGAGAGCAATTGAAACTCAGACAACAAGTTATAGCCACCGCCACTGTATATTTTAAGAGGTTTTATGCAAGGAACTCGTTGAAATGTATTGATCCGTTATTATTGGCACCAACTTGTATTTTTCTATCATCAAAGGTTGAAGAATTTGGAGTCATATCAAATAATAGACTTGTCACAACATGTCAAACAGTCAGTAAGTATGATATTTTCAACCAAAACCATCTAAATCTCAACTAACTTTTTTCAGTCAAAAATAAATTTGGGTATGCATATACACAAGAATTTCCTTATCGGACCAACCACATTTTGGAGTGCGAGTTCTACCTTTTAGAAAATTTAGACTGTTGTCTCATTGTGTATCAACCCTATAGACCTCTTTTACAGCTGGTTCAAGATATTGGTCATGAGGAACAACTCCTTACTTTGGCATGGAGAATTGTTAATGATTCGTTAAGAACTGATGTTTCTTTACTATATCCTCCATATCAAATAGCAATAGGTTGTCTGCAAATAGCCTGTGTTATTCTTCAAAAGGACCACAAAGCTTGGTTTGCGGAACTTAACGTAGATATAGAAAAGATTCAGGAAATAGCAAGGTATATTATAAATTTGTTCGAATTGTGGAAAACATATGATGAGAAGAAGGAAATACAAGGGTTACTGAGCAAAATGCCCAAACCCAAACCTGCTCCTCAAAGATAGTGTGATGGATGATTAAACAAGTATTACAAATATACGCTTAATGTTTTTTAAAAAATATATGAACTGATGAACTTTCAGCAATAATCATAATTACTTTTCTTCTCCAACTGTACTGAGTAGTTAAAAAGAATTTTTGATAGAAAGTTCTCATTCATACAATACATTCAAATCCATTGGATTAACATGCACTCACTTTTTACCTAGAAAAATGAAATAAATGTATTTCTTATTTTCTTTGAAAATTAAATTGTGAAATTTCATTATCGATCAATATTTTTTTTAAACATCAATTATAGTATTAATAATAATAATTCCTTATTTTCAGGACATAGAGAGTACTAATAGAAACCTTCATAATATTAAAGTGATAAATATTCGTTCAATGAATACACATTGTCAATTATATCACACTCAAACCTATCAGCATCAATTTTGACTTCATTTCAATGAGAAGTTTGCTGTAAATTCTTAACCCGAGTAGTACTAAGACTTGACAGAATTGTCAAACTAATAAAAAGGAATATGAAATTTGGGAATTAATAATAATATCGTCTTTATTATTTCATAACTGAAACAAAAAACACAACATAATGTATATATTCAACTTAAATTGAAATAATGGGCCAAGTTCATCGTCTGTAATGAAATACATCACAGAAAATATTCTTCCACTCCTTTTAAAACTATTTATAGATGAATTCAGAATCAAAGGATTCCTGCACCCTGTTTAAGCTATTTATATTACAATATTTTTATGTACAGTTGTTCTAAATTGACATATTTTTTCAGGTTGATACTTCACATATTTTAACATATGAGATAGATTAGATTGACACAAAATTAGATTAACACAAAAATCAGATTGACACAAAAAATCTACATAAATACAAATTATTAGTACTAAAACCTGTTGGAAACTAAAACAATGAACAAATTTGAAGACAATAAGAATCTTCGTTTTATAAAAAAACTATTTGATCTTCAATGCATGCCTAGTCTGAGTTAATATAATTTTACATTTGAACAGTTTAAAGCAAAGCAGGAGTTCTTATAAGGCCCCTCTTGTAAGCAGTTGGTTTTAAAAACAGTGTTCAACAAACAAAACAAGCGTTAAAAACAAAAAATATATTTTTAGAAGAGATTAATTTTTGGGAAAGAGTGTTTTTGACCCTATTTCTCCATCTTGATACAAAAAACGTGGGAATCTTCCAAAGAAAGGAAGGAATCAATTTAAAAAAATTAACTCTATACAAAGATGTGTAGATCATGCAAAGTATTATCAAAGTAGTTTCAATAGACGTACTGAAGATAAAGGTATACTCCACTTTATTTTTTGCCAGCATAACTTCAAAGGCTCCTCTTTGAAGCTATTAGATTCAATATGAAACAAGGAGAAGCAGCCAATAATTACGTTTCCTCTATTGAATTCAATCTGCTGCACTTCCCTATTTGATCAATAACAAAAATTTTGGTACCTCCAGAGTTGGTTCAGGGTGTGTATATGGGGTTGATTATCCGAGTCTAGCACATTAACCAGCTTTTTCATTGTCTATGATATTTAAGTGTCATGGCACCCAGTACAGAGTCAATCTGTTTCTGTCTCAGTTCTTTGTAGCTTTTCCTGACCAGTTTATTCACCTATTAATGTAGTTAATCAAAGATGCTCATTTTTAAGATAGTTGAATGTAGTTATAGGTTAATCTTCAGTAATCTCATCATCCCAATAATCAGTACGTTTCAATTATGAAGAAAAAAGTCAAACGCATAATAATTGGATAGTCAGTCGGAGTTGATTTTAATTGAACTGCTTGCTTGATACCTGTTTTCTGGGTTGTAGGCAATTAATTGGTTATTCAAATATTCAGTCTCAGAGTTGTTAATGTACAACAAATAATGGATGGAAATGAGTTTCATTCACTACAAATCAAAATATTCAATATTGACTTACAAAACCAAATTTGAAGAACTGAATATCTTCACTGTATACATAAAAAATAGATTTATTATAGACCATTACCTCTCAATGTCTATTCTAATAAAAGCTTTTTTTTCTATCTTGTTCTTTCTGGTAATATTTTTTATCTTTAAGGAAAACAATCAATCAATCGAACTCACAGACCTGTTAACAATAGTTAGGAAGGCACTAATCATGGAAACCTATTCCCCTTTTCATAAAATCATAGAACCAACGTGGTCTGATAGATAGAGCGTAACTATTGGAAGATTAACTTCAAAAATTATTTATTTTTTGATGGTAACAAATTATGCCTTCTCATATTGCTCAAAACCCCATCCAAAGAAGCTGTTTTCTTTTTAGCACTTCCTTTCAATGTTTCTTCTCCTTTGTTGCGAATTTTCAGTTTTGGTGAGGAAACTTCATCCATAAAATCAAAGTCGGACTGTTCTTCAGGTCTACAAATTTTAAAAGACACAGAAATGTCTTGGAATTCAAGTAAATGATTATCTTACTCTTTAGAGTCCTGCTCCTGTTCTGGCTCTTCATTGATTTCGGGAGAAGGTGATTTATACCCTGGACATTTCCAACTGAGTTCCTGCATTTCACCTTTTACTAACATGGTATATAGTCGGTCTATTTCCTCAGGGTTAGGTTCCCATGGTCCTTTACATTCTTTAAATTCTTCGTCAGAACATTCTATATCCCATTCCTCATCCATTTTAAATATTTACAGACTTTCAATTCATTTAGTCAGTCAGACACTAGTAATATTTATAAAAAGTGCATAGAAACCACAGTAACAGAAACTCTGTGCCCTGGTATTTAACAGATTGGTTTTTGTTTTGTCAAAAACTCTCGGCGCAAGAATTAGATTGAGCCAACTTTGTACACACGTTGATAGATGGAGAAATAATCGAAATCTGTTGCTCGTATTCGGATCTTCAATTTAAGGACCATAATGTAAAATATCTTCCGCCCAATATAAATTTATTCCCAAATGTAAATAACAATTTGGCATTGTCAAGCAGTGTCACATTCAAGTATATTCGACACTTTTGTGAATTGGAGCCTGAAACGATCTCTTTATTATTTCTTCATCAAAAGTGCCGTAAAACGAAAGTTTTTGACAAAATATTCTACATGGGGAAAAGTTCCATTTGATCACACCAAGGATATTTCATGCATATTTACAAAAACTAAGTTACTGGGTTTTTTGTGGTTAACTTTTTGCCTGGGGTGGAGCATCTAGGGACAGTTGCAACTTGGCTCCCGTGTTAGGACGGAACAAACTCGACCTTTTTTTTTTTTTTTTAAATGAATCGCAATAGACCAAATTGAATAAGCTTTTTGTTCAGGAATATTTATTAGAAAATGAATGAAAACAGCAAATTAAACTCAAAAATGGACAAACAACAACTTCTTATGACAACTGACAATAGTAATGTAATGTAATCAACTTAAAGAAAAAAAAAAGAAATGCATCTGCTGCTAACAAAATCCTTATTGATGTGGATTAAATAATGAATACAAAGAAATCGACTCTCAAACTGCAAATGAAACTAAAACATGGAAAATACAAACATCATCTACATAAGGTGGAAAAAATAAATGTGCTTTAAATGAAGTTCTTATCGGATATAGTCCTTTATTGTGGACCTCTTGAAGATGATCACTTGGTGATCGAAAGACGTGTCGAGGTGTTAAAATAAGGGTTTGGTGTTGGGAAAAAACTCCAGTAATATTCATTACTACACCAAAGGTTCCAAACAGTGCATCACACTATATAAATTTTTATACTTATCACATATATACATACACAAATGTACATCAAGTTTTACTAAATGTAGAAATTCATCATATATAGGTGGGATTATTGGTTTTCACACTTCATTTAAATTTGTTGGTAGAAGTTTCTCTTATAATCCTCGGTAGCAAGTTATAGTATAGAAATAACATCCAGCCCATTCTGGCGACCACTTATGAGATAGATTTCGAAAACTTTTCAAATGTGTGTTAATGTAATTTCTTGTCGAATAACTGTGAATATCAGAGTTTTTTCGATATTTTTAATATTATTATGAAAGTACACTAATATTTTCAATAAATAAATTATCAGTACTGTAAGTAATTTATTCTCTTTAAAGACTGATCTACACGATTCTCGATATTCTAGATTGAAAATCAATCGTATAATTCTTTTTTGATAAATGAATACTTGACTACATTCCGTTGCTTGCCCCCATATGATTATGTTATAACTAATTGCTGAATGGGCGAGAGCATAGTAAACATTGATTAGCGATGCTTTGCTCAGAGTCCACTTCAGTCTGTAAATAGCAAAAAATGTTTGATTCAATTTTTTGCACACATAGTTGATTTGTTCAGATCAAGTCAATTTTTCATTAATCATAATCCCAAGATATTTAAAGTTGATGCTTATAGGTACTTTAAAATCTTCAATTTCGACAGTAATTTGTTCACTGGCCAACCGTTTCAATGAAAATTGCATGTATTTTGTTTTCTCTAAATCGACAAATAACTGATTGATATTAGGTACACCAAAGTACAAAATCTTCAATAACATTGTCACTTTTTATGGAAACTTCTTGGGACGTATCCCCTATATTACTACTATTGAAGTATCATCTGCATGCATGAACAACCGACCCCCTTTGATGAAATTAGGCAAGTCATCCATTTACAGGAGAAAAAGAGATTTGAGTGTACTACCTTGTGGGGTCCCAATTTTGATATAGCTGTTTCGATTTCTCATAAACGAAACCAGCCAATCATCATTTGTAGATTAATCTGAGTCAACAACAAAGAAACTTTATTATAGTCTATACGAAATCAGCTAAATATTTCCGACGTCCGGTTACTATTTAGTTTTTATGCCATTCGAATTGACTTCGTATATACTTTCTATACCTGAAAACATATTTGAGCGATGTAAAATTATAGTCCATTGTGGCCGATCTGTTCAGATGGGTCGTTGTCAGCTTGCCGTTAGCGAAAGTAATGACGTTGTGAGTGACGTCTTTGCCGTAATCATAACGACTGCGCTCGTTATGTGGAACGGCCAAAGGAACATTTGGAACGCACTGTATGGGTTGTTTGGACTGCAACATCTATCCTCTATCGACGAGTTTGATGACGAGAGAAAAGATGTAAAGATCAGAATGTTCATCAAGGGTCTGGAGACAGTGCAGTGCATGATATCGGTTAGTTTGGAAGTAAGATAGGTATTTTTAAGCATTAATTTTTAAAATGATATACCAACACAAGTGATTTTTCGAATAAACTACTAATGTACCTTCGTATTGAACCATGATATTCTCACAATAGACGTTAAGTCAAGAGAAAATATCCTGAAACTACACATTCTTTATGTATTACTTTTTGTGCATTTTTACCTTTTACTTTCGAAACGTACTCTTACAAACTTGAAATTTTCTGAATTTCAGTATAAATGTCAATTCTGAATTATTTTTATACTGTTTCCGAAGCTTTTATCGAAGTGACAATTTGATCTTGAATGATGAAACCAGCAGAGAGGTACTGGAAAGGGAATAGTTACCCGTGTCTTTGTTTCCAGGTAAATATATTGCACCTTTGTTTACACATGATTTTAATACTATTACCTCCAATACCTGTTGAATACCTGCCTGCTGGTTTTATCATTCAGGATTGAATTGTCGTCTCTGAAAATATTAATCTAAATACTGCGTAACAGCTAATATATATGGTCATAACATGGACTAGTAGTTTGAAAAGAGAATATTTTTATTAGAGATTGGATTTTAGGGAAAAAACCATTTTTCACTTTCTATTTCTCCGTCATTAAAGAAAAAATGTGTATTTACAAACGGGAAGAAAAAACACTTTCAAAATAACTTACATGAACCATTAAATTATACGAAAGGGAAAATTTTCATTAGAAGCAATTCCATAAGGAATGTTTTTGGTACAAACTGAATTAGAAAAAGTGATTTTCGTGTGATTTGAAGTTCATGTGAAAGTAGTTGGTTCGAAAAGCCATTTTTCTTTCGCATAATTCAATGCCCATGTGAGTGATTATTTTGAAATGAGTTTTCTTTCCAGATCGCATCTGAAAGAAACTTCTGCGTATGCTCTATACATCTTTATGAAGAGTTTTCATTGTAGTTATTTTTTTCCTTTCTTTGGAACTTTCCAATTTTTTGTTAGATGATGAAGAGGTTTAAAGTCAAATATATATGTTTTTCCACGAATTAAGAGGAAGAAAAAAAGCGCATAAGTTAATAATCAACCTAAAAGAACATCGAAAAGTATTACCTTTTTAATGAATCGATTACTTCAAAACAGTTATTTCAATTTTTTTATTATTGAAAATTGCAGTTTGCACCAAATCAATTAATATTTGTTACACTATGAAATAGCAAGAGGAGGAAAGAAATAAAAAAATATTTTCTGCACCAATTTCTAGTCCCTGTCAGATCAACTACTCTCCTTTCTAATGCCATGAATCATATGTCAAGGGCATTTTGTTTCGATTTACCTGCAGGCAAATATCGGTCAGAAAACAACTAGTATCATTTACGGACCTTGAATTACATATGACATCTATTTGTGTAATGTTCCTCAAGGAGGACACTTTTGGAGTGGTACTTGTAAAAAAGCAATATCTATCATTCTTTATTTAGTTGAGAACCACCTGCGTACATGTATGTTCCAATGTTGTTGCATCCCATCAAGACATTCGTTTGAAACTCTCCAACGCGTGTTTCATGATATTCTACATTACTACAAAACACCTATTTAATTTCTCAAGAAATTTGTTTTACTAACGAGTAATTTATATCCATTATTTACTTGTTGAGCAGTGTATGAAATGTCAAACGCTGACAAATCCACTCGCGGCAGGTAATTTATAGATGCGCAGTAATCTTAAGAAAATAAAACACAGGAACATCGGAGGTTCCGACAAAAGTATTACTACCGTTTCAGCATTATACTGTGCTTGTGGCAACACCACAGTATAGCATAGCTGTCTTTAGTTTTACTGTGGCAACACTGAGTCTTAGTTCAGATGGTGTCAGTCATTTTGTTAAAGGAAAACTTTATTTGTTTTTTTGATTACATATTTATTTATTGTGAAATTTCTACTATGGTATCCATAAAAATTTGTGAAAATTAACAAATTTTAGTTCTAGAATAATTTATCAAAAAGTTTAAGTACGACTATTCGAATGTGCGTCATTATAACCTCAAGGTTTGTTCATCATTGTTTTGTCTGGTGATAGGAGAAAGTTCTTCACCATTCTCAGGAGCATTATGGAAGGACCTAACTCATTTTTCAAATTATTTAGGTTATTTCTAATATTTCCTTGATTATTTGAATCGTTTTTCAGATTCATCCTATAGAAAGATAAATTCAGTGGGAAGTTCGAAAATGTGGCCAACTCAAACAAGTCCACAAAACAGAGAGAATCATGCTCAGCGAAATGATGAAAAACTCACAACTCTGGGGATGACATCTGCAATATCGACTGCTGGTCCTAAACCATCAGATTTAATAAAGACGAAAGAACTAGAAGAATCATTGAAACTATTCGATGTGTTCGAATCTGAACAGGAACTTAATCAGCGCATTTATATTTTAGGAAAACTATATAACCTAGTCAAGCAATGGATCAAAGAAGTTTCTATAAAACGTAATATGCCTGAAAGTGTAGCAGAACAATTGGGGGGAAAAGTTTATACATTCGGTAGTTACAGACTTGGTGTGAGTATGTTTTTTATTTGTTTCTCTGGAATGGATGTGTATGTTTTATCGACTGGTCAACAGATTATAGCTAAATTCATTTCATACAGTTCAGTCATTACATAGAAGTAGTGATTCTGCGTCTATAGGAGTATATGAGATTTTAATATGATAGATATAAAGTTCAGGCTATTTCTGACAGGCGACTTTGAAGTATCTTGAACTAACCTCAAAATTAATGAAATTTACTACACATTTGTAAAATTCTAACTATTCTGAATCCACTCAGAATGCAACTATTTCGGTGTCCTTGTATATTGTAAATACCTGTAAGTACATTAATCCACCTTTTTACATTCTTGAGCATTCCAATTTTTTTTCTTTAATCACTTCTGCATTATGCCGTGTTGCCACTTTTATTCGGATAGAATAAGTTGGAAGGATACCAGTAATCGTCTAGAGTAGTGGTGTTGATTAGATGTGTACCACTAATAATTGTCTGTAGTATTTTCAATAAAATATCAATGTCCTACAATTTTTATGTAAATAAATAATTTTATGGACTTATTAATGAGATGAAAAAATAATGTGGCATCACTAGTCTCCAATAGAAAAGTCAAATGTACATTTTGATATCCACAGAAAGCATTACCATGAGAATTCAAAACTGATAAAAATATTGAATTGTGGGATCTAATTTGTTTAAGGTTTCATCATATCAAAATGTTGAATAATGAGGTCAGGCATTTATGCCTGACGTTTTCTAACAACCTTCGCCGGTTGAACAGAAGTAATGATGTCCCCAAGAGAACTATTCTATTAACGTTTAATGTATAAGTTTGAAAATGTCCTTATAGGACGAAACTGCAGTAACGTTAGTAACAAATAAAAGTGGTAAAAACATAGAAAGTTTCAATTCCCACTTTTTTCATTATGATTTCCTACCCTGTAATAACTTTCCATCAATTTATTGAAATGTATACACTTTTTATTGCTGAAAGGACGATGTTATTTTTTTGAATGGAAATGGGGACTTTGTACAGGTCTTTCAATGCCTATTCTAATAATGGTTTAGTTATGAAAATTGGATCACCATTTGTGAGTATTAGCAGCTTCATGTTCTCTTTGAGAATCTGCAAACAAAAAATATTTCATTTTCTAATATATAAAATCGTTTGAAATTCACACCTTAGTTTATCCCAATAAATGTTCGTTATTTACTTCCCCACAATTATGCATGTTCACAAATACATTCGAAGTCTCAGCAATGACTAAATCTTTGAGATATCAGTAGCAGATGAAACGCTACATACTTCAGATTCCATTTGACCACGGCCTACCAGATCTAATTTTGTTCTCTCAATTCATAATAAAATGATCATAATAGTGATAATGATAATACATTTTATTCATTGTACTCTCACTGGTGAGTGAGAGTTTTTTACCATGCCTTCCATTAGTATGAATTCATTTTTAAATTTGTTTTCTCAGATCCCCCAGTGTTTTCCTCATTTCATCAGGAGTTATTTCTCGGCAAACTTTTCACATTACTCCCCGCGATTAATAGGCCTTTGGTTTTTGTATATTTTTTGCTTTGATGTTCCCACAAATAAAAATCGTATGGAGTTGAATCAGGTGATCTTGGTGGCCATAACATTGAAGACTATTTTTTACATTCCATCTATTCGGAAATTCATCGTCTAGCTAATTCCTGATAATTCCAGCATAATGTGTTGAAGCACAATCCAATTGCAGATATAAGTTATGCTTTATTATGAGTGGTAAATCTTCCTTCAGAGCCGAGGCGTCGAGCAAAACATTTTTGCGAGGCCTTTTTCAAAAAAGTTGTAGCCAACAACAGTACCCTTGGTCTCTTTGTTACCAGGTTCAAAAGTATGTAAAAATTCTGGCTTGAATGGTTTCAATTTGTATTTTTTTCAAATAAAACTATATTTTTCTTCAATCCAGACTAGAGTCTAGTTCTAAACTTCAGACATCACCAGAAGATGAGACTTTGCTGAAACGTTGTGGAAATAATCCTTATGAGGATCAAAAACACAGAACACGGAGCGAAACACGAAAAAACAGCTCATCATACTTTATTTATGAGAATCTTCGGGTTAACATATCTATACAATGTTCTCAAACACCAGAACTTCAACAGCCTTCTCGACATCTTTCTCACCAACCAAGTTGGTGTCTTCAGGAGATGAGTACCTGAAGACACCAACCTGAAATAACAAATCTTTCATCTGCTACTCTGGCAGACTTTATCAGTGGTATATGCATTGACTGTGTTATATCCTTGAAGTCTTAGGAAGGGCTGTCTGTTGATTGATATTATTATGGTAAAAATTGCCATAAGTATAATATTTTTGTTTATTACAAAATTGGTGATATTTAAATAACCTAAATAGTTCTTAAGAACTGTTTATGGGAACTTTGGTGCTGGTTGATGGGCTAAAATAAATGGTAGACAAATTATATACTTTGAACTGATAAATTAAGAATGTGTTGATGTAATGTTTTCAGGTTCACAGTAAAGGTGCAGATATTGATGCACTATGTGTTGCTCCGAGACACATTAGCAGAACTGAATTCTTTACTTCTTTTTATGAACTTCTCAAGGCACAACCTGAAGTATCTGAGCTCAGGGTAAGTAAACAGTAAATTAAACTAATAGATAAAAGTGAAACCATTTGTTTTGATTAATTTTTTCTCAGGCAGTGGAAGAAGCTTACGTGCCAGTGATCAGGATGAATTTTGATGGGATTGAGATTGACATGTTATTTGCAAAACTATCACTGAAAGAAATTCCAGATTCAATAGATTTACGTGATGATATGGTACTGAAAAATTTAGATGAAAGGTGTGTACGGAGTTTGAATGGTTGTCGAGTGACCGATGAGATTTTGAGGCTAGTTCCAAACATAGAAAACTTTAGACTTGCTTTAAGAGCTATTAAGCTATGGGCGAAACGTAAGTATTTTCTTAATTTTTAAGTAAACAGTGATAAAGATTGAAGAATTAAAAAAGATCAGTTTGTATATTTTTTAATGCCCTTTTTTAATGAAATTTGTTTAATTCTAGTCAAATTCAATGTTTCTGTGCATATGAGTATCTTATATCTTCTTCTTAAGTGGTTTACAGCTTTGTAATTGAATATTTCTTGGTCCAGAAGTGTTTTCAATATTTGATTTTTCTACATTAAATTTTTTCAATTTGTACTGTTTAGTCAAGATACATTACGTTTCAAAAGCTGTTATCTACTTTCTGAATAGTTCACATCTAAGTATACATGTCGTTATTATATTTAGCACTTTTCGGAAATGTCTGTCATTTGTTTTGAGAATTTCTCAGAAGTGATACTTTTCCATCTCTTACCGGATTCTGAAGAATAACGAAAATTACATCAAAGTAACATCAAGATACAACATTGGCAGTGTTGAAAAATTTGACAAGCATATTGAAAAATAATTTTCAATTATACATTGCCCCGCTACTCCATTACAAAGATTCAGACGATTGAGATGGAACAAAATGTTGCAACTGAAACAGGAGTCTAAAAACAAAAATGAAGAAAAGGGTTATTCTGAAATGGGAATTGTAGCGAAAAATGCATATGTTTCGAAATTCTGTCAAAGTAAAATGAGTGTGAACAATGCTCAAATGCAAAAATTTTAATGTAATCTGACTGAAAAAAGCTCACTTGATTTGCCTTTGTTAAATTAAAATCTGTTTTGGCCTTTATACTTATTGAAAAAAATAATTCTGTAATATAATTTTAATGCTTATTTATTTGTTTTCAGGACACGGCATTTACAGTAACGTTCTAGGATATTTGGGTGGTGTTTCCTGGGCTATGCTGGTAGCAAGAACGTGCCAGCTGTATCCAAATGCGGCACCTTCAACTCTAGTGCATAAGTTTTTCCTAATTTTCTCGAAATGGCTGTGGCCACAGCCTGTTTTACTGAAGCAACCATCTAATGTTAACCTTGGATTCCCTGTGTGGGATCCTAGGGTATGTATACTTATTTTGTAACTGGTGAACAGAACTTATTTGCTTCTTACTTGTCATTAAGACTTATTGGTTAACTTGAAATGCTTTGGATTTACTATTTATTGAATAACAAATCTTCTGGTTATTAAATAGCAGTGGACATTCCGCTACCAGTATTGGGAAATACTTTTCTTCACATACGTCTCAATAATCAAGTAAAAATGATCAGAACTAATTAGTCAGTTGGTATCAGGTTGGTTAGAGAGTTTAATTCATGAAATCAATGCTCTGAGACGAGGGGTATTCGCTATATATGGTCAACTTGTTCTAGAAATCGTTCATTTAAAAGCGAGGCACCATCAAACCTCAACTAGGCATTTTCTTTTTCGACCCGCTGTTGTCATTAGATGATGACAACAGTGGGCGAAAAAAAAACATTTTAAATTCAATCACAATGGGTTATTATTTTGAAAAAAATATAATTCAGATGATTGTTAAGGAAGATAATTCACAGTTCTGGTATTGGAAATAATGATTTTCAACAAATTTCTTTTGGTTTTCTCTATTTGGAACTCATAAGGAATTTTTAATTTCATTTATATACTCAATCAAAAGAATTTGTTTCTAAGCTATTAAATATTTTTTTAATGCTTAGCAGGTCTTCGGAAGAGACCTGAACTCTGCAACCTTTCTTTACTTTTTCTCTGAGTTCCAGGGTATTTCAGTGTAATAAAGTTGATTATTTTTCGGTAAGACATTCTCATTATAATGCCATTAATAGTTTTGTTTTCTAATTCAGAAATTTCATGTTCGAACAGGTAAACATTCAAGATCGTTATCACTTGATGCCAATTATCACACCTGCTTATCCTCAACAAAATTCAACATTCAATGTGTCCCTTTCCACAAGAACAATAATGATTGAAGAATTCAAACAAGGTTTGTCTATTACTGATGATATTATGCTCGGAAAGAGCAGTTGGGACAAGTTATTTGAACAGCCAGCATTTTTCACAAAATACAAGCATTTTATTGTACTACTAGTAATGGCAGAAAATGCAAAAGATCATTTGGAGTGGTGCGGACTAGTTGAAAGCAAAGCTAGGATTCTTGTAGGTAAGAAACTAATTAATTTGTTTTTTGTTTCATAAGGTTATTCATAACATAATTTTGAAAGAAAATGCAATTTGCGTTTTTCAGTTTTGTTATTTCCTCGAGATTGGCTTCCTTTTTTGTGTGAGGCACTGAAAGGAAGTCATAATATTGGTTTTGATTGGAGAGAGTTCCCTCATTTCCAGTTGCAAATTGTCTGCTGCTCTTCATAAATATCTCCGAATGTCTGTAAATAATGTATATTTTTAGGATATCTGGAAAGAAATCAGTACATAACCCTTGCACACATCAATCCTGAAAGCTACTCAATGCTGGAGTCCCAAAGGGAACCTAACACAATTTGTTCTATGTGGTTTATTGGACTGGAATTCGCTAAGACAGACTTGAGTGTTGACCTTACAAGAGATATCAAATCATTTATGGATCACGTCATCAAGCATGCAATAAATATTCAGGCTATAAAAGATGGAATGACTTTGGATGCAAGGCATGTTAAGAGGAAACAGTTGTCACAGTATTTGGCGCCAGGCCTTATCAAACGAGAAAGGAAATCTGGAATTATCAAGAACGATACTAACCCTGAAAGTAGAAAGAGAATGTCGTCTGAAGCTATTCCGGAAGGAGATACACCCAATAAAAAGACTAGGCTATCTGAAGAAATTACTCCGGCTCATGTAAGTGAACTGAGATTTTGTAATGAATTTGACCTGGTGGTAATTTGTTTTGGAAATGTAGATTCTCAGTATTTAATTTATCTCAAAGGAGGATATCGTNCAATTCGACTCAAAGGAAGATATCGTTGGCAGTCTTCTTCATTAATTTTTATGTGATTGTCATGAGTGATTTTTGTGGTAAGAGATTAGTGGCTTGTTCACTACTAGGGTTACACTTGCTCCTGAAGAAAGGGAAAATAATGGGTTTTTACATTAGACAACGACGTGTGTTGGCTGCAGGGGTTCTGGAGTAGTTGGCAACTGACTCTAGTTTTCATTTTAAGTCGCAGGTGTATGCAAATATGCCACAAACCGCTGCGGTCCTCAGAAAAGCCGTGCCGGACATTTGAGCTATATTCCACATCTATTCAATTTGGTAAACTTCTTCCAGGTCTTCAAAATTGTAATGGTATTGTGTTGCCACATTTTCTTTATTTATACATTGTATTCACTCATTTTAAATGCAATAAATGGAAAATGAGAACGTGTATTATTCATTATTTTTTCTTATTAGTTAGTGGGAATATGCTTGAAGACTAGCAGTAAACAAATCTAAAATAATGAACTTTAAACACGCCAGTCTCGGATACACCTACACAGTAGGTTGGATGGCCTGAAGCCACAGAAAATTTCCTGCATATGCAATTGGCAATACAACTGAAAGAGTCGACATTCAATTTTGGAACGGCAACACTTGTATAGACCGGTTTCGGGCTCATTAGCCAGTCGTCCGTGCAAGATAGTGACCATCATCGACCTAAAGTTATGATATTCCATAATTGAAAATCGGAATACTTTCAAAGTATTTCATTCCTCTTTTTAAGTTGGAGCGAACAGCAAAATGTCACTTCATCTAGTGGACGAGGTACTAACCAACTACATATCCGAAATTTGACCGATTCCTCTTAATAAGGAAGAAAAACTTTCCTATAAAAGAAAGAAATACAAGTGTCGTGGGAGGTTGAATATCTGGGAGTAAGTAGATTCCAAACTGAGGTAGCACTGATACTCGCCAGACGCACCTATGGAAAAAATGGGGGCTAAAACCAGACATGGTATATTGGCTATACATGATGGTGGTTGAACCCATGATAACATACGCATCTCTGGTCTGGTGACCAAATATGAAGCAGGCGACCGCTATCAACAAACTAGGCAAGGTGCAAAGACTTGCATGTTTGGGAATGACGGGTGATGTCAAAACTGGCCAGGGAATGCCATGAAGAATTAAATGAACTTGCAAACAGGCAGATAAACTTTATCTTTTACACTGAGTAATTTGGACGCAACGCAGTTAGCCATTTCACGTCGCGTCCACTGTAAGATGACGGGAGCCAATGCACGGGGTAGAGGGGCGGTCTAAGAAATGAAGCGCCTTAGCCGAGAACGCGACCCGAACGCGGGCAGATGCGTGAGGGCAGATGTCGTTGACGGCTGTGTTAGTTTTGCGAATGTCTTTAAAGGTAACATAATTTGACTCTCGAAGCTATTCTTTACTTAGTGCAGTTGACATATTTTACGCGGGCGACAACTTATCCTGTATAAAGGAAAGTTTTCACCTGAATTGGAATTGATTTTTCTAAATGGAGTAGCAAACATATCATGGTCTCGCACGTCTCAGCAAGGTGTATTCGATGAAGTTTTTATTATCAACTTTGGACACTCGACATGGTTATTGAATCTTTGTACAACATTAATATATCCGACATTTTTCTCCTGTAAGAGATAAATGAAACATTTTTTGAAAACTCGACGGAGGTTTCCATTGATTATAGAAATATCTGTTTCACGAGTTAATTGTTTGACGAATTTATTTTGAACACTTTCAATTCTCTGTTGGTAAAATGTATAGTGCAGACTCTACACGACAGTTACAAATTTCAAACGTCTACATTTATGCACTGAATATGAAGACATTTTTGAAAGCAGATATTTGATTTTAAGTAGAGGCATAGACCTTCATAGGTCACTTTTTTCGTAATACTTAGCTCGAGAGACAGCTGCGAAAAGAGCAAATCCTCGATATTTTGCATCGCGTAGGAGATACCGAAATAAGTTATTTGAAAAAATTGCTTCAAAATAGATTTTGACTCTACATACCGAATCTCAACGCAAAATTCTAATTTTATATATAAGAAGTTATGAAAATGATAAATTCGTTATCATGTAGGGATGAGAATGAAACACCTAATATTCGTTATGAATATATTTATTTCATGATTTAGACCATTTCACCATTTCTGTATTCTGTATTCGGAACCATTAATTAAAAATCGGACTTGAATATGAAAATGAAGAAAATAGGAATGAATCTTTCTATGTTTTTCACCACTTTTATTTGTAACTAACCTTACTGCAGTTTCGTCCTATAAGGACATTTTCAAACAATCAATAATCAAGAAATGGGTAACTCTGACATATTTTGGTAAAAAAGAACAGAGATAATTGCGGCTTTCTTCAGAAAAACAATGTGGAAGTGGCATTCAGACCACATGCCAGGTTATCTGATTTCCTTTTCAATGCCAAAGATATGGTGGACAAGTTGGAGAAATCTGGAGTTTATAAGTAAAAGTGTCCGGAGTGTAATGCTGTTTATGTGGGGCAATGTGGTCGAAATTTTCAAAAATGGTATGCTGAACATGAAAGGTCCTTCAGACTAGGAAAAAATGATTCGACGTTTTCAAACCATTCCTTGGCATGCGACCACAAGTTCCCCAATCTAAACGATACGGAAATTTTGCACTATGCAAGGAAGGGTTGCAAACTCAATTATTTGGAATCCTTGGTAATTCACAAGCATAAACATTGCGGGTGCAACTTGTTAAATGATCAAAGCGATTTAGTTTACTCACCGGTTTTCAAATTAGCGTATCCACACTGTCCAAGTAACGAAAATTCAGGTACCGAATTAAGCTAAGTACCTCTATTATTACCTACAGTGGTGTTATATAAAGGCTAATGTATTCAATCATTGTTAGTTTTATGTTTGAGTTTGAAAATGTCCTTATAGGATGAAACTGCAATAACGTTAGTTACAAATAAAAGTTGTAAAAAACAGAATATTTCAATTTTCTTTTCTTCATCATAATTTCCTACCACGTAGTACCGGCTACATCCATCAATTTATTAAATATGGAAATTAAAAAAAAAAATTTTGAATTATAATGCGATATGTGGGGTCAAAATGGATTTTTGAACAACTTTTTCAAATAATCGCAGTAGGTTGGGTTTGAGGCTGTCATACAGGTTAATTATTGCGGAAAGTGCAGCCGATGAAAATGACTAAAATACAGGGGTGTCTTTATATTAAGTGTATCACACTGTATATAAGAGAAATAGAGATTCAGCAAAGTTTTTGCGTTTCTGAAATGTCTTTTTTTTCTGATAATGGATCCTAGTTAACGATTACATAGGGGTGTATTAACGAATTTCTCTATGTGAGATTAAAAAATAATTTTAGAATCCATTATTACTACTAAATCGCGTACTTAATTCTGTTTCAATTGTATGATTTACTATTTGGTATTGAAAATCAATGGGACTTCTATTTCTAATGAAAGTTATTTTGAGGCAGTTATATTGCCACAGATTTCTGCAAATGCATGAAGGTCATTTCGCAATCTCTCACAGTCCTGGATTCCTTTGATAATTCTATAAATCTTGAGGTTATGGTAAAAAGTTGGAATGTTCAAATACTCCATCAATAATGGTCCCAAGAGACTCCCCTGTGGTACACCTGGTACACCACAAAAGGTTCTGACTGGTAACCGTCACCTTACACAATTTGTTATATTGAAGAAATCATTTTAGAAATGCTATAAAATCAATTTTTTTGATTATTTATTAAACGGTTCACATATGATGTGGCTGTCAGCCGAAAGACGAGTATATATTACCATCATCTGTGAGATGACAAAAATGCGTTTTTCTGCATTTGACAACATTTTGTTCCCATAATAATAATAGAAGCTGAAAAAAAGTATTGAAGGTCAAAGTTATATGAAATAAATATCCTTTGATGAAAGTACACACCGGAAATCAACATTTCAAGTTCAAATTATCTAAAAGATCAATTTGTTCAGGCGAGTCTCAAATTAACTACACTGTAGACCTTTCAGAAAACAACCACTTCTTTGGCTAATACCACCAAGGGCGTTGCGTTATATTTGACAGGTGTCAGTGCAGGATTCTTCACTGATTCTTCACTGCATATGCTGTTGGCAATACAACGGCCGGAATCGATATTCAATTATTGGAACACAATTGTAGACCGGTTTTCGGATATTTGGCCACTCGTCAGTGCAAGGTAGTTTCAGTCGAAACGTCTGGAGATTATAACCGAAGAAGATCACGACAAAACCCGGAAACCAACTAGAATATTGACGACAGCCGTGAAAGCCCACATTTCTATAACTGACACAATATTTTTAAACCTCTGGAACAAGTGCTAGATGAATTCAAAAAAACAGATTGAAAAAAGACATCTATTTCAAATTACCAATAAGTCATTCTGTAACTACTTTCGAGAAACTTGATAATTATTTATTGTTTGAGCATGACTGTGATTGTATACAAAACAGCAACAGAATAAACTGGCTTTTAAGAGCACGTGACGTTTTTATGAATTAGAATTTGTAAGATTATCACTGTTATTAATTTTAGATTTATCGGAATGCAAATGTCACCATCATATTCAGAAGTATTATAAAATCATCGATACATATTGAATATGCATTACAGAATTATGTAGTGGATATATTAAAAGTTGAATAAATTTTACATTTGTTACAAGGACGATAAACATCTTTTCAAAGATTTAAACACCATTTGTCAAAAATAATGAAAGACGTGAACAAAATAACGAATTGTATGTTGAAAATATTGAATGATAAGTGGATAAAAAATTTCCAAACTTTGGGATCAGTCAGCCGTATATTGTTTAGAAAAACGACCATTGATATTTTCCGATTCCGGAGAGGGAGCCTGAAAATCAGCCACTAAGCCCAAGGAAGGCAGCAGGTGCGCATGTTAATTAAAAAAATACTTTTTTCAAATGAAGAAATACATGAAAAGTGAGTTCGAATATCAAGGAGTTTACGTACAGCGCCATCTGCCCGCGAATAGGTCAAGCAATAATGCCAATAATTCTGTCAAATACAGATCCCGAGCATTCAAACGAAATGAAATGAAAAGGAGAGTTACAAACAAACATACATACATACAGGTGAAGCTAATAAAAGCGTGTTGAAAAAACAAATCATAAACAGTTTGCAGCATTTTGATACATGTTATATATTCCATAATTATAAGCTAGAAAAAAACAGAAAAAAACAAAATGACCTGAAGTTGAAACATGAATATCACACATTCAAAAAACCCGTACTCGAAAAAGAGTTTTGCCGAAAATATCTCTTGAACTTCCATAATGTTTAAGGTGGTGAGTACCCTTTTGCCAAGTTAATTCACAGCTATTGTACAGCAGAGCTCATCAACTCTATTTTTCTTTAGTTGATTTGAGCCGAATTCGGAACCCCTGATCACCACTTTCAACCTTGAAACGACCTTTACCTGCATCGCACGATGTAGTCAAGGTGACTTTGAGGCAGTGTTCTGGTTTTGACCTTGGATGATCTTGATTCACGTTCCATATTTTCGACAAGATGAATTTGATCTTGAGTCAATTAGAGACATTAACGCGGCTATATTGAAGTTTCAAGTATTCGACCTTGAACGACCTTCAAATGCGTAAAAAAGAGGAGCCACTCACTTAGAGGAGTCGGTTTGTTATACCGTGTACTAATTATTTCTACAAATATTTCACTGTAATAGGTTAGGAAAAACTTCCTGCCGTAAAGTTAACATGCATCGCCATCAAATGCAGTCCTGCAGGCCGGACGATGATGCAGGTCTCCTAGCAAAACGATCCAGAGAGGATTTTGCCCCACCAAGTGCAGCTCAAAAATTTGAAGAAAGTTTGAAAGTCATCAATATCGCATTGAAATATAGAAATCGTTACCTACAGAAAAGAACCCGCATTCAGACTATCGATCATTTTTCAGTGAAGTGAAGCAGTAAATTGTGACTTTGATTGGCCGAGAATCTTGGAAGTCAAGATGGAGTTGTTCAAAGGCAGGAGTCGCATTTTCGGAGATATCGAGTGGCATACAGTTCTTAATGAAAGCGATGTTTAAGTGGCTTTAGGTAAATTTTGTAGTTGGTGGAATGACGTGGTAGCAAGGTGTGTCCCTGAAATTAGTTTCGGTAAGAATAACAATTCGTATCCAATTTGGTTTACTAAAGAGATAAAGGAGCTGAGGAGTGGAAAAGAGAGATACAGGAAATTGAAAATGTTATCAGTTCATTATGAAACTAAATTCAAAGAGTTAAGGTGCAAATTGAAAAAAAAAAATAGAAAAGAAGAGAGGATTTATTATAAAAAAATCGAAGATAGTAGATATACCGAAATGAATGAATTTTGGAGTTTTGTAAATAAAAAAATGTCAAATAATACAAATCTAGGAAGTTTTGTCTATAATAATGAGTTTGTGGACGAAGATAAAACTGCCGACGTATTTGAAAAATTATTTTCGTCAGTCTTTTGATTTTGCTGCAACTTATAACATGCATTTCAAAGATAAACATAATGGTATAGGAATTTGTAATGAATCATTCAACATAAAGACATAGAGATATTTGCGAGACTGACTTTAATGCAGCAATGAAAAAACTGAAACCCAAGAAGGCAGAAGGTACAGATGGTATTCCTCCTTATATTTTGAAAGGTTGTAGTGAATGGCTGGAAGTTCCATTGATTTATATTTACAACTTGATCATTAAAACTGGTTCATTCTCAACTGCTTGGAAAACGTCTATAACAATAGCAATACACAAGTCGGGAAACAAAATGGATGTGAAAAATTATAGGGCAATTTCCATAATGTGTGCTCCAGCGAAAATATTCGAGCAAATCATTTTTATCAAACTCAGCAATTACACTCATAAATATATAGTACAACAACGTCACTAATCTATTGATATTAAGCAATAAGGTTTTTGAAACGTTAGAAAATAAATCACAGTTGGATATTGTTTTTACGGACTTCAAAAAGGCATTTGATCAGGTGCATCATGACTTACTCCTAGAAAAGCTTAGTGGCTATGGATTGTCCAGAAATGTGCTTGAATTGATGGAGAATTATCTTCAAAAACGATACTTCACGGTCAAACATAATGGAAACACTTCAGGAAAATTTCTAGCTAATTCTGGAGTTCCACAAGGCTCGAACCTAGGACCTCGTCTGTTTTTACTTTTTATTAATGATTTGTCTTGTATTCAAACTATTCGAGACTGTATAGGTCTGCAGAGAGGTATTGATGAAACCATTGATTGGAGTCTGAAATATAAATTATATTTCAATTTAAAGAAATGTACTGTACTCTCAATCACCCGTATTAAAGAGCCAATTCTGTTTGAATATGAAATAAAGGGAGATATCCTAGAGAGAAAACCTGAAATAAAGGATGGTTAAGTCCGCTAATCGTATTTTAGGTTTTGTTATCAGACAAACATCGAATTTTGCCAATATAAACACCATTGAATTTTTATATTATTAATTCTTTACTTAGAACAGTTGACATATTTTCTTAGTTACGGTATTTTCATAGTAAAAGCATAAATTACTTACTAGCTGTTGCCTGCTCTTATATTGATGTATAGCCGAAGCTACTGAACGTAGAATCTTGAAATATGTAGGTATGTAGGTATGTAGGTAGGTTCTTTGTATAGCGTGAATAAGCATAAAAATTCAGGAATTTCCAACCCCAAGGGGAAAAAAATGTTTGTTTAAAATGGTCTGTCACGAAACTTAATGTGACAAACTAAATTCTATGCGAGCGAAGCCGCGGGCAACAACTTGTCCTGCATAAAGGAAAGTTTTTACCTGAATTGATTTTTCTAAATGGAGTAGCAAACATATCATGGTCTCGCACGTCTCAGCAAGGTGTATTCTATGAAATTTTTATTATCAACTTTGGACACTCGACATGGTTATTGAATTATTTGTACAACATTAATATATCTGACTTTTTTCTCCAATATGTAAGAGATAACATGAAACATTTTTTGAAAACTCGACGGAGATTTCCATTGATTATAGAAATATCTGTTTCACGAGTTAATTGTTTGACGAATTTATTTTGAACACTTTCAATTCTCTGTTGGTAAAACGTATAGTGCTAACTCTAAACGACAGTTGCAAATTTCTAACGTCTATATTTATGCACGAAATATGAAGACATTTTTGAAAGCAGATACTTGATTTCAAGTAGAGGCATAGACCTTCATAGGTCACTTTTTTCGGAATACTTAGCTCGACTGACAGCCGCGAAAAGAGCAAATCCTCGATATTTTGCATCGCGTTGGAGATACCGAAATAAGCTATTTGAAAAAATTGCTCAGAAATAGATTTTGACTCTACATACCGAATCTCAACGCAAAATTCTAATTTTATATATAAGAAGCCATGAAAATGATAAATTCGTTATCATGTAGGAATAAGAATGAAAAACCCAATATTCGTTATGAATATATTTATTTCATGATTTAGACCATTTNTGTGCCTATTGAATCTAATGTATTTTAAAAATAATTATAATCCAGTTAAAACTCGAGATACTATCTGCGCAAATAACGCCGCATTACATCATGAATATAATGACTACCTAATCCCGAAATAATCATTTTAATTATGGCTCAAAACTATTCCTCTGCCTTTTGCCGTTACCTGTTGGTTTATCTGAGTTATAGATGAAATTTCAGTGACGTCACATCTGAAGAATAAACCTACATAAAAATCAAAATAAAATCTACATTGTAAACCATTGATTGCTTTTTTTCCAATACATTTCTTCAATCGAAAGTTACCTGCAAAAGTTTTAATATTGAAAAAAATAGACTCTTTTTAGTCTAGTAGTTATGGTATATTTGTTAGTGGATACTTGCTTTTTAAGTAAGTTTTATTACATATGATGGAGTGACATTTTTGATGTTCGCTCCATCTCATCAACCACAGTCCGTCGCGTATTTCTGATATGTACCGCTCTTGGTGGAATCAAATGTGCCATGTTACTTGAATACTTCCCGTGAAAGTATCTATAGAAGAGAGACAAATCTCCAACCATTCTTCGATGTTCCAGGCTATCAAGTTTGCACGTGATGTTAGCGTCTCCAATCAGGCGAGTGGCTCTTTTCTGGATGGAATCCAGCAATTTCAGGGTATGTTTGGGGGCAGAGCTCTATACAATACATGTGGAACATGTATAGGGATTATTTTGTTTGGCCAAGTCATACCATCACATAAATACCTAGTCAATTTCATGAGTCAATTGACTATAACTGGCCGGTACTTGATGAACACCCAAATTTAAAAACTAATTAATACAGTTTGTTGCATGATTGTCACTATAAATGGTTTTGCAAAAACCGCAACATTAGGCATTCGAATTCAGAGTATTGAATTAGATTGCATTGATTTTTTATTATGCGAATATATCCTGAATTGGTATGCCAATCACCCTTCCTTTTCTCTATATTCTTGTATAGAGAAAAGGAAGGGTGTTAGTATTCTCTATTTCGGTAGTGAACTGTAATTTTTGATCATATCTGTTAACAACATTGAGGACACTTTAGGAGGTGTATTTTCGGATAGATCGTACCAAGAGTTCATTCATAGTATATTGCCTCAAAAGATAACTTTTTTTTGTGATGTGAACATTTTCAATTTTTTTGAAAGTCCTAGTATAACTATCATGTTTAAAATCATAAGCATCAGTAAGATTTTTGGTATATTACTCATATGATTTTGACATATTATTCTTTCCCAACTACCTACGCAGAACATACTGTTCAGGTAGTTGGGAAGTATAAATATTTATTTATTTATACATCAAAGAAGAATTTTTGTGATTATGTAACTTTTTAATTATCACAGAAAAGTATATTTCGATAGTTTGCCAGTTATTTTGTTAATGCACTGATCTGATTGTGATATGAATAACATCTCAAGCACTAGCCTCTACTTCTTTCTTTTGATGACGTTGATTTATCCAACCCAAACAAATATGGAAATGTAGATACTCGTTGACAGGTTAAAACATAGTAGATAAATTATAAACTTCAACCTGAAATTTTATAATGGAGTCATATTTACGAATGTGTTCATGTAATGTTTTCAGGTTCACGGTAAAGGTGCAGATATCGATGCACTCTGTGTTGCTCCTAGACACATTAGCAGAGTTGAATTCTTTTCGTCTTTTTATGAACTTCTCAAGGCACAACCCGAAGTATCAGACCTCAGGGTAAGTAAATTGCACTAATCGGATGAACTGATACCATTTGTTTTGATTACTTCTTTCATTTTTTCAGGCAGTTGAAGAAGCTTACGTACCCGTGATCAAAATGAATTTTGAAGGGATTGAGATTGATATGTTATTCGCAAGACTATCCCTGAAAGAAATTCCAGATTCAATAGATTTACGTGATGATATGGTACTGAAAAATTTAGATGAAAGGTGTGTACGGAGTTTGAATGGTTATCGAGTGGTCGATGAGATTTTGAGACTAGTTCCAAACATAGAAAACTTCAGGCTTGCTTCAAGAGCTATTAAGCTATGGGCGAAAAGTAAGTATTTTCCTAGTTATTACGTAACCAGAGATTGTTTGCTGATTTTTCACTGCCCTTTTTATTCGTTCAATTCTCCAATACATACAAATATTTTACTTTGTGCTATTGGATGAAGACACATTATGTTCTTAAAAGTTGTTATACATTTTCTGAACGGTTAACATTCAAGTCTACGTCATTCTGTCGTTTGTTTTGAGGAGTTCTCAAAAGTGACCCGTCTCCAACCGGGTTTCAAAGAATTACAAAGAACAACAATAACAGCATTTAAACATTTGACAGGCCAATTGGCAATTGCTCCGCTGCTTCATTTCAAAGGTTCAGACGATTGAGATGGAAAGCAGTGTTGCAACTGAAACAGAAAAGGTCATTCCGAAATGGGGGTTGTAGCAGACAATGCGAATGTTTCAAAACTCAGTCAAAGTAAATAACAGTGAACAATCCTGAAAAGCAAAAATTTCAATGTAACCTGACTTGGAAAAGGCTCACATAATTTGTCTTTGTTTAATCGAAACTTATTTCTGCCTTTATATTAATTCAATATATTTTCTGTAGTATAATTTTAATGCTTATTTTTCGTTTTCAGGACACGGCATTTACAGTAGCGTTCTAGGATTTTTGGGTGGTGTTTTCTGGGCTTTGCTGGTAGCAAGAACTTGTCAGTTATATCCAGATGCGGCACCTTCCACATTGATCCGTAAATTTTTCTTAATTTACTCAAAGTGGAAGTGGCCGCGGCCTATTTTGTTGAAAGATCTATCCAATCGTTATCTTGGATTTCCTGTGTGGGATCCTAGGATATATATACTTTTTGTAACTGGTGAACAGAACGTGTTTGCGTCATACTCGTCAGTAAGACTTATTGGTCAACTGATTAATGTAATCATCTTCCTCTTGAAGATGATTGAAACACGTGTCGAGGTGTTAAAATGACTTTTTGGTGTTGGAAAAATTCTCCAGTAATATTCAGCTTTGGGTTTCCTATTCATTGGATAACAAACCTTCTGATTAATAAGTAGCAGTTGACATTCAACTACCAGTGAGTTTTTCGGAAAGTCATTATACTCATAAGGTCGTTAATAGTTCCTTTTGTAATTCAGAAATTTCATGTTTCAACAGGTGAACATTCAGGATCGTTATCATATGATGCCGATTATCACACCTGCTTATCCACAACAAAACTCAACATTCAATGTGACCATTTCCACAAGGGCAATAATGATTGAAGAGTTCAAACAAGGATTGTCTATTACTGATGATATCATGCTAGGAAAAAGCAAAAAACAGATTTGACGTGGATAAGTTAATTTAAGACAAAGTTCTATTCTGTGAATACCACAAAATGTATAAAATCATTCTGAACGCGGGCCCTATACGGACTCTTCCTTGTAAATGACATTTGAACCAAATTCGAGTTAACTTTCGATCAAGCTAGCAGTGCCTTTTTTTCAGTGCCCCTTTTGCAGTGCCTCTTCTATGTCAATGATATGAGTCCTGTCTGCTCAATCAGACGTCAAATCGAATGCAGCATGAAAAAGCATGTGAAAATTTGGATACCAATCCAATTTTCCAAGCCTACAGTACTCCAGTACTATATATATATACATATAT